CTTTGTTTGGCATGGCTCACAGATTCCCTGAGTGGGAAGATGATCCTCGAGGCTTCTGATCTGCCGTTCGCGCCATGTGGAGATTCGGATTTGCTCATGGCTAAAGGAATCCTCGAGTGTGCGCATGTCCCCGGCACTGAGAACCTAGCGGATGCTTTGACAAAGTGTTTGGCGTTGGCAACCTTCCTGAAGCATCGCGTGCTGTTAGGTTTTGTGCCCTTGCGAGCCGCTGCGGTGAGCAGTGTAGTCGACACATCCTTTCAAGGGTTTCTCCATACGCTTGTGTTTAGGCAATGTTGCCTGTGTGGTGATCATCTTGAAAGGGGGCAGCAGCACGATGTTGGGAGTCAACATGTCCACAATCTTGTTGAGAGTCAACATGTCAATGCACTGCTAGCTTTGAGAAAGCCTTTGTTTTCAGTATAAACTTTTTGGACTTCATGGATTTCTTGGATTTGTTGGATTTCACACATGTTTTCAGTCATGTTCAGTTTTTGGACTTGTTTGCAAGAGCTGAGAGTCTGCTTTGCTCTGTTCCGCAGCTGTTTCGGACTATGTGTCTCTCCTGCAGCTGTTCTGGACCACGAGGTGGCTCAACTCGTCGCTCAGGTACATAGGTACGCGCTTCCGGAACCCGCAGCGATGGATGGAGAGGATGACCTTCGTTCGGAAGCGACCACTCGTGTGGATTGGTCAACAGGCGAGCGCCTGCGAGAAGCGAGTACAGCTGAGAGCGCTGTTCCTGAGGCACCTGAGGTACCAGAGGCACCTGAGGCACCAGAGGTCCCTGCCGGACCTACAGCTGTCCCGAGTCCAAAGGAGCCAGTGTCGGCTCCCACTGCTGAGGTACCTACTGCTCCGGCTGTTGAGGCATCTACAATTCCAGCAACCGAGGCACCTACAGCTCCTGCGAATCCAGATCCTGAACATGAAGTTCCAGCAGAACCTTCTGCCCCAGTGGTGTTGACCGGTGAGGTCTAGCCAAAGGCTCCAGCTGAGGCAGGCACTGCAGAAACTGGATCATTGTGTTGTGTTTCAGCTACCCCTTCACGCTCCCGGAAGAGTTCAATTGCCTCCAAGCCGTCTCGAGTGACGAGGATCAAGCTGCTCAAGAGCTTGCGTCGGACTTTGTTTGGTCCAAATGCCGAGGTGAAGCGAGCTCCGAAGCGCATTGCAAAGAAGCGCAAGGCGAAGAGTGTGAAAGAAGAGGATGAAGAGTCGGATGGAGTACCTCCACGTCCGAAGGCCAAGGCGAAGGCAAAGGTGAAGAGCAAGGCAATGCCGCGTCCTCGTGGCACGGTGCGTGGCTTCTTCGATGCTCGTCGCGGCCGAAGGGTGGAGGTCCCCTTGCGTGGCCCCAATGAGGCGCCCAAGCCAAGGATGATTCGGGCCTTCAGTGGCTTCAGCTTTCGACCCGTCCGCAACCTGAAGTGCAGGATCTGTGGCAACTATGGCCATGTGGCCGCCTCGTGCATCCAGGGACAAAGGTCAGTGAGTTTGACCACAGGGAAGATCCAACTGAGTCAACGGATCGATCCAAAGAGCGATGAAGACCTTCGAGGTGATGCATTGCCCAACTATGGATTTGAGAATCCTTTGAGCTCACAGATCAGCCCAGGCGACAGTGTGTCGCAAGTTGGCTACAGCCCTGTTGCGCCCAAGTATGCACTGCCGATCCCAACAGCTCCAGGTATGTCAGCAGATGAGAGGTTGAGATTGCTGCTGAAGAAGAGGAAGAGTGAAGAGGCCCAGAGAAGGCATCAGAGCTATGAGACATCGGATGAGGTATGGCCTCGAGATGATGGAGAGGAAGCTGATGATCTCAAGGAAAAGCTACGCAGGAAGCGCAAGAGGTTGGAGATGAAGCCCTTCACCAAGGAGAATCGCGAGCGTCCCAGCTACATGCGGCCGCTTCCGGAGGATCCTCGAAAGAATAGGCCAAAGCACAGCGAGGCTGCGCCGCCCAAGCGTCCTCCTGCGGTACCACCACCGAAGACTCCTCCGAAGGGACCTATGCCACCTCCGCCAAAGAAGAAGGCGATGCCAGTTGCCCCGAAGACTCCTCCGAAGAAGTCAGCTGAGAAGCCCAAGACTCCTGCAAAGGAAGTTGCAAAGGCAACATCTGCGAGCGAGGCTCCAAAGAGTGAGGCTGCAAAGGCACCAGTACCTGTTCCGAAGGCAATCGGGATTGAACCTCCCAAGACCCCTCCAAAGATGGCTCCAAAGACTCCGAGTGAAGCCTTTCGATCAGTTAGCCCAACTCTGGTCGATGCCGCTGCAACTCCGGCAGAGCCGAAGCCAAGTGGGGTAGAGCGGACAAAGGATTCGTCGCCCACGAAGCACCCTGAGGGATTGCCAGAGCAGACTGTTGAGGAGTGTGTGTCACCGAAGGTGAGCCCAAATCCTCCTCCACCGCCGTTGGATAGCCCTCCTACAGCTCACCAGGAACCACCGCCTCCTCCAACTGAGATCGGATTCCCTGTGACGGGACCAGCTGAGGTACCCAAGTCTCCCATGGTGGCGCCTGTTTTGCCGAAGTCTTCACCGGCAAGGCCGCTCATTGATTGGGGAGCACCAGCTTCAGTGGAATCGCCGATCGGTTCGACCAGCGATATCACAAGGATCATGGGATTAGGATCTCAACACACTTCGCAACAATGGGCCAAACTGGAAGTTCAGTGGCCAGTTCAGGGACATCCAGACCGGTTCAATGCTGCATCGCATGCCATGGTACTGGAGTGTTGACAGCTGAGCAGAATGTGACCATCTTTTCGCTGTTGGCCTCAATGCCCCCGCGAAGTGTGATGCTAAGATGTTCAAACGAAACGTTGTCAAGAGTGACTTTTGAGTGTGACTCAGCCGTTTCAATCATCCGAGAGTCGGATCAACTCAGGTATCCTCGATATACTGTGCTAGAAGTAGCTTGTGGCAAAGAGTCAGTCATCGCAAGATCTTGTCGAGAAGTTGACTATGTTCGATACATCGGAATCCATGCAAACCTTCAGGAGATCGGTGTTCGCAATAAGGTGCTGACCCTGCTCCGTGATGGATTCAGTCGATGCCCGCATGGATCTCAGGTGGCATGTCTCGTGCACATTTCTCTTCCTTGCAAAGGCGGATCCCCTCTCTTGAATTTTTGGGGAAGGAATGAGAAGCGCGAGAAAGAGTTCTTCCATCTTTTAAAGTCACCTGGAAAGTATCTTGATGAGATCAAGTCATCTGAAGGAGTATCTGTCACTGTTTCGTTCGAACTGCCGAGAAGCAATCAGTACTGGAAGAGTCGAGATCTTCAGAATTTCTTCGAAAAGCACGGAATGGCATATCAGAGTGAATGTCATGCTTGTTCGATGGGATTGGAAACCCAGAGTGGACTTCGAATTGGCAAAATTTTCAGGATTCAGAGTTCGAACTCGTTTGTGAGTCAGCGGTTGAACTCTTGCTTTCAATGTCGTTGCGATGAGAGTCATGCACCATTCAATGCAGTTGATTACCATGATACTGAAAGGTACTCAATGAAATTTGCTCGTTTTCTTGTGAAGAGTTTTTGCATCTGTGCATCCTTGAAGTGAGAACCCAAGCTGAGCAACCGACTGGCTGAGAGCCTTTGCTTTTGTTGCTGCGCAGATAGCTTGATGACACTTGCGGATGAGGCTTTCGATGATCGATGTGAAAATACGTGTGCATGAGATGCCGCTGGAATTCAATAGCTTTTGAACTGTGATGATTCACACCTTCTAGACTGTTCGCTGTAGAGTCTGTCGAGAGTCGATGAAATTGGATCAGGTTTTTGACAAAGGTACTTCATGAATCTTGTCTCGGTCTGCGTGACCACCTTACTTCGAGAGACTTGAAACCAGTTGAACAGTGAGACTGTTTTTCAGGAAGCCGTGCTCATGTCGAAATGACCCTTGAGTCGTCCCTTCCTTCCTATCTTTTCTTTCCTTTCGGAGAACTTTTCTTCGCCGAACTTTTCCGCAGCCATTTGTGTGTGTGGGGCGTCCGCGCGGGAAGCCATGTTGTCGTTTGAGGGCAGCTGCATTGCTGCGCTGGCGTTGTATGGCATATATGGCGCGCTGAGTTTGCTTGTGAAGCTTTTTGGCGCTGCTGGAATGGCGAAGAGCCTTTTGGGACAGAAGAGGGTGATGGCCGATAAGCCAGAGAAGCAAGAGCCGTTGTTGAGAGAGAGAGTCCCTGCTGCTGCTTCTACAGGTGCTGCTGCGTCGAGCGCTGCTGGCCGGCCGAGTGGTGTTGAGAACACTGCAACCTCCGAGTGGACGAAGATGAATGCAGTGAACAAGGTACTTGAGGTTTTTGTGACTTCGACTGGGTCCAAATTCCACCTTGACCGTCAATGCCAATACTTGCGAGGCAAGAAAGTCACCTCTTTTGGTTTGTGTAGCTGCTGTGAGCGCAAGCGCTTACTGGAACAGCGAGTGACCACTGTCCAAAGTGGCATGTGAGCTTCGAAAGGGGGTGTGAGAATTTATAGTACTGAGGAGCGAAGACTCCATACCACTTGTTTAGAGACCGCAAAGAAAGCCATAGAGAGTTTTTGGCTTGTTTGAATGAGGTTCGCGAGGTTTTGAGGACATTGAAAGATCCCTTTCAATGTTTCCCTATGCTTGTAGTTTGTGTATGAGGTGTCCGAGAACACCCGAAGATGTTTAGACTATGCTCTTAGTTGCTTTGGAACCCGCTACGTGTCCATGCGCCACTGCTCTTTTTGGCGGCATTGCGGGTCTCTTCGATCATGGCATCAGCCACAACCCAGGGAGGCTGAGGGTGGGCCCTGGAAAAACCCAGGACCATTCAGGTCCTCTTGAACCTCCAAAGGCCGGCGTGGCCACAACTGCTTCAAAAGCAACGCTTCACGAAGCTCCTACTTTGGAACCCGCTACGTGTCCATGCGCCACTGCTCTTTTTGGCGGCATTGCGGGTCTCTTCGATCATGGCATCAGCCACAACCCCCCACAAAGTCAGCGCAGGACCAAAAACGTCCACTACGTATAGTGGATCCTCTTGTCGACCCTGGCCATCCGGCCCGACAACTCCTTCAGCACTTCGCCCCCATCATAGAGGTACCTTTGCACCGCGGAGCTGCTCCACCTTCCCATTCTCTTGACCAACTCGATCTCACCTGAGGCCTGGAACAGGGCACTTGCTCCTCCAATTTGAAGGCTGTGGCTCATGAAGCGATCTTCAGGCAGCCCTTCCGCTCTTGCTGCTTTCTGGAGTACTGCTTGTACTTCTGTTCGACGAAGGGTTGTCCCATTGCCCCACCGGAACAGAGGTAGGTGAGCTTCAGGTCCCGGAGAGAACCGTCTTTGAGCCACTTCACGTAGCTCTTCGAGAGCGTGCACTGGACATAGATGAAGTTCACCTGTGGCCCCCATAGTTTTGCACGACCCGAAGGCCTCCTGATCAGCCTTTGTTTTGCGGAACTGAATGGTCACCTCATTCGCTCCTGTCTTCACATCACAGCCGTCCTTCGTGAGTCGGACGTCCATGCCTCGGAGGATCATGTGTGCATCAACTCCTCCTGAGTCACAGTACTCCTTGGCTCGGAGCATGAAGAACCAAGCCACCAAAAGCGCAGCCTGCACCATTGCCTTGTCGACCTGGTCCTCTCCGAACAAGTCGCTGTTGCACAGGCTCCTGCCAATCCACAACAGCATGCCTGGTGTCACCCCCAGTCTCCTTGGCTTTCGTTCAGCATGTCGATCTAGTGACGTGACCAGCATCCACACCCTGAACATGCCTTCGGTCGGGTCGCCTGCTCCTCCACGCTTGTGACCGTCCTTCACCGCGAACAAAGCCTGCTTGATGGAGGCCGCCGTGGAACCAAGCCAGCCCAAGTAGCCGAGGAACGCCAAGAGCTTGTCCTCATTCGCAAGCTTGTCGCCCTTCACGTCGAGGTAGCACGAAGGCCATCTCTGGCGGGTTGCCCAGGCCTCCCATTTTTCCCATGCCGACCGGTACATTCTCAGGGTACTCGTAGCCTTGCTACCTGCAATGTTCTCTTCAAGCCACTCCTCCACCTGTGTTTGGATTGCCCCATCAAAAGGCACCTTCCTTGGCTCCAGCAACACATGTTGCCCGGCAGGTAGATGGGCCGGCTTCGTCAACTTGGGTCGTCTCCCCCCCGCTGAGGTGTCCCTGAAGGTCTCCACGGTCTCGCTCTCGTCGCGGTTCTCCTCGGACTCAATCTCCAGGCACCAAACCCATAAAGCCTCCCCCGCTCTCGAAACCATGCGTTTGTGGATGTCCCCTCCGGCACGCCCATCACCTCCGTGAAGATCACCTGCACCAAAATGGCGCCATTTCCACTTTCGCAGCCATGCCAGAAGTTTGGCCATGGACAAATCATACGGCTCATAGCCCAATGCCCCTGCATTGTGATCGTCTTCGAGGATCTCCCCGAACTCGACCAGAGCTCCCGCCATCACCAGGAGGTTAGATGCCACCTGAAGCCCCGTCGCCCTGTTGCCCTGGTTCGCTATCTCCTGCACCGTTTTCCCCTGGTGAAGGAGCTCGTCCCACGCTTCACAGGACCTCCCCTGACATTGCCAGACCTCAAGTGGTTGAAGCGCTCGAAGATGGCCCGGTCGCCCTCGACGATCAAAGACCTCCAGCACCTCGAACTCCCCGTCGTTGTACCTCAGCGGCCAGCGCCCTGGACCTGCCAGCCCGTGCACGTTCTTTCGTTCACCTTCAGGTGACTCCCACACATGACCCACCACCTGCGGTAGCAAAGGCGCCCGCGGGACGCCCGGCTCAATGACCATCTTGAAAGGCTTTCTCCAAACCAGGTCCTTGCTCTGGTTGGCTCTCCCCACGGCTGCCCCCAAAGGCGGAGCAGTCACTGTCTTCACCAAACACCTCTTCACGATGTCCTCCGTCAGGTTGAAGCGCGCCCCTACCAGGCATTGCCTTCGGCGTGCGAGGTACTCCCCCAGTTCTGTGGATACGAACTCAAACGTCACACCACCCAAACCGTTGGCTCGGAACCCTTCGAGTGCCTTCTCCCAGGGGGCGCACCTTGGCCCCTCCCAGATCACCACGTAGGGTCGCAATCGAGAGACCTCCTTGATGAACTTGTCCACCAGGATCCCTTTCTCATCGACCGGCAAGGTGGCGACGATGACGACTCGGGTCCTTCCGATCTTGGAGTGTCCTTCAGGGGCCAAACTCTCAAAGTCTTTCAGCCATCTATCATCACTGGCCAGCTCAATAACTCTGAGTTTGTCCCAGGGAATGCCCAAGGGCTTGTCGACAAAACGCTTGAGCCTCTTCTCCTTCAGCTGCAGCATCACCTGTCGGTCTTCCGGGTCCTGCCAGGACAGGAAGCAGGGTCCAAACCGGGCGGTGTCCTCAATGGCCTTGGAAATCGCCGGGCCCAGCTCGACCTTCTCCCAACCCTTCTTCACGAGCATCTCCTCGAACTCTTGCGTATTGCACCTGGTGATGTAATCGGAGTCGACGTTGTGGAAGGTCCTCCACCACCCCCCCACCAGGGTGAATCCGTAGTTCATCTCGCAAAGGTTCAGGACTCGGACTAGTAGTCGGCCCGCCCGTGACCCACTCTGACGTTTGCAGACCCACTGCCTAACCGTGGAGTTGTCCCCGGCGTAGAGCACCACCTTCCCTTTCCAAAGAGGCCCACGCTCACACACAAAGGCCACCAGCGAAAGCATCTCCGAGATGTGAACCCTCATGTCTCCGTCCTCCTGCATCTCTTGTTCTGCTACCCCCATCAGCCATGGCTCTAGCTCCGTGACTGTTGCCCTAGCGGCTGCCCCAAAGGTCCAGTCGATGGCCCCAATCACCTGAGTAGTAGCGTCTGAGGATACCCACACAGTTTCCTTCCACTCATTCGGGAGGCTCAATCGTTCCTTCACAGGGAGGAGCTCCTTCAAGGTGGTGCCAAAATGCGTCTCCCACCTGTCGGACCTGGCGCACAACCATCTGCAAACCTCAAACAGGCTCCAAAGGTCCTCCCAGGCGTCCTCCACCTCCAAGAGTTCGTTCTTGTAGCCCAGTTTTCGAGGCCGAGCTGGAAGACCCCCCTCGTCGTTGGAGAGAAAAATGTCCGCCGCCCTGAGCTCATTCGCCAGGCCCCTCACCACAATCGCCCAACCAGTCGTGATGCCCCTGAACTGCTGAACCTGGCGGACCGTCACACACTTCTCCCCCGCGTCGAAGGCACTGTCCCCCAACAAATACGACCCTCTGAGGATCCTCCGCTCTGGCAAGAAAGCTTTCTCCGAAGCCGCGTTCATAGTCAGTCCCCAGATCACCTGCTCCTCCTTGAACTGTCCCTCGATGGCGTCCTTCTCCCGGTTCACAGCCTCTTTTCCCAGCATCTGTTTGACGCCTGTCTCATAACATGCAGCTGAGATCCAAGGTCTCAAGCCCAAGAGTGGTTCAACCAACACCGCATCGTCGACCAGGATCTTGCAGTCAAAACCCAATGCTCCGTCTCTGCGAGGTAGTCCAGGTCGATGCGCTCTATGGAACTCCTCCGTGGCTCTTCCCCACGGGGTCCATTCCCCCGGAGAGCCCGAGAACCCAAAAGAGGACACGAGGTAGAGCACGGTGAGTGGGCGTCCACGTACCTCTCCGCTGTGGCCCTCCTCATCCGGCATTGCTGCATCCTTCCAAGGGAGGTCCCCCGCGAAGAGCTCCACATCCGCGGGTGCCACCCAAAGCAAGCGGAAAGCCCCAGAGATGTCCTTCTTGGCGATGTGGACCTGGCATCCCGGGTAGCGATGCTTCAAGAACAGAACCCTTCTGGCAATCTGGTCGTGTGTGGGCTGCAGAGCCGGCGGGTGGAAGTCCTTGTGTGTGCCCTGGTTGACAGGTCGCTGGTCATGCACCACCCTCACCTCGTTCGACACTGAGCGATCTGGTAGAAGTTTTGGGACAGCTTCGAAAGGGGAAGCCATAGTGTTGCCCAGTTTGGGATGATCCTGGCTTGCAACCAACGCCCGATGTTTCTTGACGTCTTTCCAGATCTGGGCATAGACCTGCTCCAGGTTCCGTTTTGCATTCGGGTGCAGCCCTGCCGTCGCCCGCTCTCGAGGCCCCACATGTCGGGCCTCCATGCCATGCCTCTTCACATGTCTCAGGTAGGCCAGAAGGTCTGGGTGTAAGATCTTATCCAGGCACGGGTCCTCGACTCCTCTCAGATTTGCCAGCCCATGGGTTGCTCGTGCGTCCCATAGCCACTGAGCCGCTTCTTGAACTCCGCCAGCTGCACAAAGTAGAGCGTCTCCTGCATCCAAGACACGTTCCCATCCTTGCTTGGTGGGCTGGTCGAGGCCGTTGATCGTGTTGAGGTAGTCAACCGCCTCGGGGTGCAACAAGGTTTCACTCTCCCCTGAAGTTCCTGGTCCCTTCCCTTCACCGCCACGATCGGCTCCTGCCCGCCCATGGGATGACGTCCGCGTTCTGGATCTCGACCGCGATCTTGATGGAGAAGCGTCCTCATACTCCGTGGAGCCGTCGATGTCCTCCTCTGACTCGCCGCCTTCATGGGGTCCCGCTCCTCCTGGATCGTTATCTGCGTCCGTCAGCCAAGGTAGCCCATAGCCCTGAAAGACCAGAGTGGTGGTACCCGTCCAAATGCCAATGCACTATCCTCCAGTTGTCGCACATGCAAATGGGGGGGCCCGACTGTTCCGGCCCCGGTCTCGACACGGGCCAAGCCCTGGTGAGCCGCTCGTTTCGGTAGGCGACTCCCGGGAAGTTGTCACCCAAAAGGCCCGGCATGAACAAGTTTCTCCGTGGTTGTCGGCGTGTGACCGTGACTGTCCCTGAGGCTCGGTCCACCTGCCACTCATCCGGCTCGACCACAGTGACTGGAGACGTTCGGCGAGAAGGTCTGGCCTGCCGGCAGTAGTGGTTCCCACAATGAGTCCATCTCTCTCGACCCACTCATCGGGCAGAATGATAGAAGCCGCCCCTGGGGGCCCCATAAGCATGTCAATCGGTCTGCCTCTGTCCAGGTTCCTGGTTCCCTCCGGGCTTGCCCACACTCCGCTCGGTTCATCATTCACCTCCTGGGGGCTAAGCTCGAAGGGCGAGCTTGATGGTTCCTCTACTGCCTCCTCCGCTTCCGAGCCAAACTCAAATGGGGAGCTGACAGGTTCCTCCAACGAGTCTGAAGCCCCCGCTGAGGTTCCGAATCCTCGAGTGTTGCCACCCTCATCGTCCACACACTCCTCGTTCGTCCGGTTCTCCCTGACATAGTTGTCCGCAATCTCCCCATCCGTCTGGTTCTCCCTGACATAGGTCTCCGCCCTTGGGCCCTCATCACCACTGGGACCTTCCCCGTGGGTGTGGTCTCTTTCCGGCACCTCCTCATCGGCGGCGGAGTTGACCCCCCCCCGTCGACCTCACCTCCTGCTCGACTCTGTGGTGGCCACCCATACCCCCCCCAGCTGAAAGAACTGTCAGAGAGGCCTGCAGGGTCTGCACAATTTGTTTGATAAAGTCCGCAGGGTAAGCTCCTGCTTCCGTGCACCGGGTAACCGTGACTCCCGGACGACAGCCCTTCAGGGGCACATGCCTGTGATTTGAGGAGATCCCCGGGCACACACGATGCAGCAGTTGAGCAAGAGGGCCGTGGGATGGAAAAACCACCCTAGTATAGTGCCTGTAGAAAGCCGAAGGTTCATCAGGCGGTCCCAACCCAAAAGCGCACATAGAGAAGACAGCAGAAGCCACATCCGGTCTCTTCAGAATGGCCTGCCAAGAAGGTAAATCCCACATCTTGGGGTACCGACCACTGGGCCCACTGGACTCCGCCACGGGGAAGGCGCCGTTGTCCAAGGCGTTGACGAAGACCTTCGCCGCGAACCTCGACCTCCTTCTCCAAAATGGGCCCTCGACCGCCACCTTGAGGCTGAGCAAAAGTTCGTGCGCCTCCATTTTGAAGTTGCCAATCACAGAATGTAGTGCGCGGCGAGGCTATCCAGAACACGTTTTCGGGGCCAGAAACCGCCCGTTGCAAATGAAGCCCACGAACCAAAGGGTCAGTGATATCATGCTGAGGCTGGTAGCCAACTCGATTGTGCGGGTCAGCGAAGACCGCAACCGGAGGAGAAGCTTCACCCCCTTGGCTAACCCTCGTACGGCTCGTTGATGAGTGGTCGAACCCGCAACTCCGGATCCATACATGTTGGCATAGGATGTGGCCACTGCCGCTAAAGTGCTATGCTGGCGGATCAGGCCTGACCCGAGTGAGGTCTCTCCTGCTCGACGTGGTGGGCGGCATAGCCGGCACGCTACTCGTCCTGGGGCACTCACGGGTTGATCGTGGCGGGCATGCCAGTAGAAATTGAAGCCAAGGACCGGGGTACTTTGACGCTCCTCCACCGCCAACCATGCCAGCCCATCGAAGTCAGCTGGTGGTTGTAACAACACCATGTGCCCTTTCCAGATCAAGGTCCACACTATCCAGCCTCCATCTTCCCAATCCGGACCCACGATGGTCTCCACGAGCAAGTTCCCTTGGAAATCTGCTCTCACCACCACCACTTTGGCCGCCCCGAGCTCCATGATAGGGAAAACCGCTAGGCTTCGGAAGTCGCGTTCGTGGGCTGGATGTAGGAGGTCATGAAGGTACACCCTCAACTCGTGCTCGATTGGGGTCACGAACTCCGCCGCCTCTCCCATCTGGGTGGCTGCATCCAGCGCTGGCCGAGCCTGATCCAACCTCTGCTCCCGAGCCTTATTCTCGACCTCCTGCAACGTAGGGCGTCGCCCCTTTTCTCTCCAGAGGATACCGGCTGCCAAGGTCTTGGTGACACACTGCCTTTTTTCTATCACCGGCTCCGGCAGCTGAAGAATCCCCGCCAGCTCTTCGGACATGAAGACTTCCTCTTGGTAGTCCCAACTCCTCCAGGATCTCCCATCCACCTCCACATAGCCTTGGCCTGGTTCACCGGTGGCCCACATAGTTTCTCTCACGACCAGACGAGTGTTCTCGCCCGCCCTCGTGCCGCCCTGTTTTTCAAGAATGATGGCAGCTTCCTCTGCGAGATCTGCTACCCCGTAGGCCACCATCTCCCCCATGAGCTCTTCGAACGTAACTTCTCCGTCTGCAGCTACCCTCGCCGATGCCCACGCGTAGAGATCATCTGACGCCTCCTGCAACTTTCCCAGAACCGGGCCCGCCGCTAGCTTCTCGGCTTTGTCCACCATGTTCACGGCCTCCTCCGGCGCCTGGAAATCTTGGAAGGGGAAATAACCACGATCTTGATGTCGGACTGGTAGCCCCCAGGATCGGTCGTCTCTGTTAACGAAGTCCCTGACGTCCTCCTGCTTGGTGTAGTCGATCGCCTCGAACTCCTCCGGCACCTCGTTGAAGTGGACGGTACAGGTTCCACCTGCCTTCACTTCCTCTGCCTTCTCTCCCCCGTCGTCTTCCTTGTCAGCCCCCGCCTTCCGCATTGGTTTGCTGATCTTTGAGGCCTTGTCCTTCTGAACTCCTTGGCGAAGGGCTTGGATCTTGTCTCTCGCACTCTCAGCCGTCTCCTGCTTCATGCGACGAAGGCCTCCCCGCCGCAGTAGTTGCATCTGAACTGCTGGGTCCAAAGCTTCGAAAGATGCCTTGAGGTTCTCATGGGCCCGTTGGCAAGTAGCGGAATGGCACCCTGCATGCGTCAGATAGCCCCAACATAGTAATGCACCCCCTTTTCCAACAGGTGCTCGATCTCGTGCCTTGTTCACTTCCTCCTGGGTGAGCTTCGGGCCAATGAGGTTCGTTGAAGGTTTTCCCCCTCCTCGACTGTCCTCTTCAGCCTCCTTTTCTCCCCCAGCGTGCAACCCTGCAGCCTGCTTCTTGTCGCCTCCCCAAGTCAAGCGCCAGAGAGCCCGCTCCTGTCTTCTTTCGATGCGAGGCTCCAGCTCCATCTTGAACCACCCTTCCGGGTTGAGTAGATCGAAGGTCCGTGGGAGCTCCAACCAAGCGCGTCCTTCTGGGCCAGGAAGTAGTGCATGGAACCTGATCTCCGCCAGGGACATGGACTCCCTTTTTGCCACCTTCTTCAACTGACGAAGGACCTCTTTCATTTCTTCCATGAAACGCCAGTGGAGTTCCTCCCACGCGTCCATCACTATCTGCAGCGGCCACTTGTGGGGAAGCTCTTGATGCCAACCTGCCAGCAGATCCAAAGCGTGCTCCCTGACCTCCAGCCATTCCATGCCGTAGGCGAGTGCCCACACCTGGTTCTGTCGTTTCACACGGGCTATCCACTCGTCGAGGCGGGTCGGAGGTGCTGGCCTCTGCTCCCCTGGCCCCTTCAGATGTCTTGCCTCTGAGGCGAAAGCGTCAAGTTCAGCATCAGTCACCTGCACGAAGTCCGCGGCCGTCAAAGCATGCTTATCAGTTGTGCCCCAGTAGGGCCCTGCCAACCCCACGGCTAGCCTCGTCGAGATCTTTTGTCTGAAGCCCAAAGACCTCAACTTTGTGGAAGCCCCTACCTGGGCCGCAAGCAGAGAGTTGGCTAGCGCAGCCCCCACATCACCAGGGCAGACTTTCACGTCGTACTGGTCGCACGCACGCATCAAGTAGACCAGTTCTTCGGATTGTCTACCTAATCCACGAACTGAACCTGGTGGGTGTTGGCCTGAATCCTGTTGCGCTCGTACCAATGTGGCAATCTCGGAGGTTTGGTTTTGGATAGCTTGAGTCAACTTAGCCATGGGGTCATAGGTCTCCTCCCGAGCTCCTGCCTTCCGGTCAGCGCTGCGTCCATAGATCCTCGGAGCTCCAACCAAGAGATCCCCCACTCCTGCCTTCTCAGACATCTCCGGACTTGAGGGATTTGAGGGTTTTCCAGAAGGGTCGGACGACACCACACTCCAAGTACTTGATGGCTGCGGAGTGGATGGAGGGAACACAGGTTGGGCAACCTCTTGCGCATCCTTGCGCCACTTCTGTAGGAACTTTGACAGCCCCTTTTGACCCTTCTGCTGTTCCTCCCAAGCTTGACCATACAGCTTCCTGGTGATCTCTTGGAAGTTTGAGCCATGGCGGTCGCATAGCACTCCCCTAGCCTTCTCTTCCGTCATGCCTTCGTGCTTGCCCTCGGTGTAGACCTCGAAGAACTCCTCCAGGATGCTGCGTTCCGGCCCCCCATCAGGTGAGTCAAGCATTCCCAGCTTTGCTAAGCTCCTGTGAATCGATGACTTTGGTGTTCTCCCCGGTGACTTGGAAGTAGTTTTGACTCGCTTTGAGTCTGGCTCATCTTCCCACACATCATCGTGGGCACCTTTCATCTCCTGAAGCAAAGACCTGGCCTTGCTCCCTCGGTTGTCTGCTCTCCCTTCTCTCACGCCATCCGACACCACCTCGAAGCCGTCGTCAAAGCGCCTTGAAGTACTCCTCCTCCGTGGTGTAGTGGACGCAGAAGGCCTCCATCTCAGCCCACGGTCACCCTCGAGCTCGTTCACCTCCTCGCCCAGGTTGTCCTCCAGCTCGTGGTCCCGTGTTGGTTCCCGTGACCTAGACCGGGACGCCCGACGCTGCTTGACCGACTCCTCGTGGTTCCAACGCAACATGAGCCCTTGATGGCCAGTGTGTCCTAGCCGTCGACAATCAGCGTGACTGCACTTCTTGGCGAAGCGCTTCAGGATATATTGGGAACCATGACCTTCACACAATGGGACCGTATCCTGCTCACCCAGCTGATCTTCTTTGAGCAAAGTAGTGCGCTCCCGAGCTTGATGCGAACAAGGAGCCGGGGCCAAGCGTTCATCTCCCTTCTCAGTGCTCCAGAAGACTCGATGAGCCTGGCATGGTTCCTCATCCCGTTCAGATTCGGAGCCCAAGTCCCGAACCTTCGCAGCCAGGTTCTTAGAGCCGCCCAGCGCCCACTGCCACGCTCTCGAACCCCAAGTCATCGCCTCCTTGCTCGCCTGGTTGAAGTTGAAGCTCTCGTAGTCGATCTTCTTGGTCAAGCCGTACACCTTGAAGTGATAGCCGGGCTCGCTGCACTCCTCGCTCCTGCACAAATGCACCTTGTCCACTCCCGTCAGCTCCTGTAACAGCGAAGGGGCTCCCCGAAGTGTGTCGACCTTGATGCCGATATAGACCCCGCTGGACCTGATCGGGTGGCTCTCGTTGGACACCTTGAAGACGGCTGTGTGGTCACCCTTTTTGATCACCACCCATTTGTCGGTGCTGGCGTGATACTTGAACTTGCGGAGCTCAGCAGTCTCGGGTGGTTGTCCAGTACCAGGACCGAAGTAGTCCGCCATCGAAGCCTCGGGCGTTCCACCCAAGAAACGTTGGACCACAAAAACCACCCCACCAAGAGCACGAAGGAGACGTCGAGCTAGCCACACCACCGTCATCATCACCGCACACACCAATGACACCACCGGCCAACAGACCGCCCAGATGTAATGGGCGATGATGCAGCATCCCAGAAGGATGCAGCACTGACAGATGCGCCTGCATCCGTTTCGAACTCCAGCCCAGGCGCTCCCGAAGAGTGTCCAGCCAAGCAAGCTGAACGCCAAGTCAGCCAACGTCCAGAGGCTCCAGTCAAAGCCGCTCTCCGCCGTGGGTTCCGTCAAAGAGGCCACCTTGGAGAAAGTCTCTGAGGCTCCATCTAACCAAGGCGTGGCCGCCGGAACCCATTCCTCGACCTTGCCTCGCCACCATGGCTTCATTGGTAAAGGCTCAGGTGGCGTCGAGGCGTTCCACCACCCTCGTCCATGTGCGACGAGGGCAGCCACCATCAGCCATCTCACCACCATGGCGGATGCCCAGGGACCCTGGAAAAACCCAGGACCATTCAGGTCCTCTTGAACCTCCAAAGGCCGGCGTGGCCACAACTGCTTCAAAAGCAACGCTTCACGAAGCTCCTATTTCCAACTGTTTTTAGAACCTTTGTGAAGCGTAGAACTGTTTTGAGTATGGTTTTGCATGTCCACAAATGTCCCGAGAACATTTGTGAACCTTGGAGAACGTTCGTCACTTTGGCTCAAGTGTGCGGCGAAAAGTGCGCGTGTCTTTTGCCTGCTTTTTCTTCCGTTTTCGACTCGGGTCGTTGAGACACTTGACTGACTAGGTGTTTTGAGCACGAGAGCTTTTGATTTTCCGTCAGGAGTTTGTGTGTCAAACTTTCACGCCAATGGACAAAGATGCGGAAGCCAACCCATCGGATGAAGCGGGTGACTGCCTTGGCGATCGTCCAGCATCCTCCAACACACGGCCAGTCAGTAATGATGTGTTGGAAGAAAATGGGCGTACAGCAGTGCGATGCCACCACAAGGAGTTGATCCCCAGGATGGTCACATTCCTCGGAGTCCCCGATCAAACGAAGACCAGGAACAAAAGCAAGTGCAGGTAGGGCTCAATCCAAGAAGCTCCGGCAATCAGCAGGTCAGGCATCCAAGCTGCCACAAGGCAGCATCCCGGAACATGGGCAAAAGCCGGTCACGCTTGAGGACCTGGCAAAACACGCTCTCGACGACGCAAAGTAGTGCCTTGTTCCCTCCAGTTTCCCTGTCCCCAGTTCCAGTTCCCTGTCCCCAGTTCCCTGTCCCCAGTTTGCTGCCTCCAGTTGCCTGCCAGTTCCCTGTCCCAGTTCCCTGCCCCCAGTTCCCTGTCCCCACTTCCCTGTCCCAAGTTCCCTGTCCCCAGTTTGCTGCCCCCAGTTTCCTGCCCCCCACTTCCCTGCCCCAGTTCCCCCCAGTTCCCTGTCCCCAGTTCCCTGTCCCAAGTTCCCTGTCTCCAGTTTGCTGCCCCCAGTTCCCTGCCCAAGTTCCCTGTCCCTGCCCCAAGTTCCCTGTCCCAGTTCCTGCCCCCAGTTCCCTGTCCAGTTTGCTGCCTCCAGTTCCCTGTCCCAAGTTCCCTGTCCCCAGTTTGCTGCCTCCAGTTCCCTGCCCCCCACTTCCCTGTCCCCAGTTCCCTGTCCCAAGTTCCCTGTCCCCATTTTGCCGCCCCCACGACTTGAGGCTCTACATGCAGTAGTTGGAGATCAGCCTCGCCTAAGATCCACCTGTAGGCCTTGATCAGCGACTTGAGGTTCTACATAGTTGGAGATCAGCCTCGTCTGAGATCCACCTGTAGGCCTTGATCAGCGACTTGAGGGCTTACACAGTTGGAGAATAGAATCAGGAAGCGTGAAGTGAAAACGCCGCCCTCAAAGATACAACATTAAATCATTAGGGGTTAAGTGAAACGCCGCCCTCAATGATGGCCCCAAGTCAGCTGCTTTGCAGGAGACGATGTTCTGGCAGTTCTGCAACCCAAGCTTTTGTTAATTCATCATTGAGGGCGGCGTTTTCACTTAACCACAAATGATTTAATGCTGCATCTTTGAGGGCGGCGTTTTCACTGCTTGCTTCCTGATTTGACTTGGCGTTTTTTCTTAATGCTTGGTCTGAGATCAGCTGTGTCTGAGATCAGCAAGAACACCATTTTTGAGCACGGCGGTTGTCTTTTCTTAATGCTTGGTCTGAGATCAGCTGTGTGTGAGATCAGCGAGAACACAATTTTTGAGTTCTTCCTGCTTGGTCTGAGATCAGCTGTGTGTGAGATCAGCGAGAACACCATTTTTTACGGTGGTTGGTTTTTTCTTAACGCTTGGTCTGAGATCAGCTGTGTCTGAGATCAGCGGGAACACCATTTTTGAGCACGGTGGTTGTTTTTTTCTTCATGCTTGGTCTGAGATCAGCTGTGTTTGAGATCAGCGGGAACACGATTTTTGAGCACGGTGGTTGTTTTTTCTTAATGCTTGGTCTGAGATCAGCTGTGACTGAGATCAGCCGGAACACCATTTTTGTAGAGCCTCAGTCTCTGATCAAGGCCTACAGGTGGATCTCAGACGAGGCTGATCTCCAACTACTGTGTAGAGCCTCAAGTCGTGGGGGCAGCAAAATGGGGACAGGGAACTTGGGACAGTGAACTGGGGGCAGGGAACTGGGACAGGGAAGTGGGGGGCAGGGAACTGGAGGCAGCAAACTGGGGACAGGGAACTTGGGACAGGGAACTGGGGGCAGCAAACTGGGACAGGGAACTGGGGGCAGGGAACTGGGACAGGGAACTTGGGCAGGGAACTGGGGGCAGCAAACTGGAGACAGGGAACTTGGGACAGGGAGCAAACTGGGG